CCTAGCTGAAGCTAACTTTCTTTATAAACCCACAAGAGCTAGTGCAGCTAACTCTTGTATCAGCACGTAAAACATTTTAGCCCACAAGCTAACATACATTTTTTTTCCTGATGCTAAATAAAAATTCACACACAGAAGCTATCTAGATTTTTTTTCTTCAGGTGCATGTATGTTCTTATCCTCAAAGACCATAATGGGGAAAAATCTGGNTAATACATCTTTCCACATAATGTGAAACATACTAAACTTAACAAATTCAAATAGCATTAGCTAGCTGACTTGGTTAGCATTAGCTTGCCAACTAAAATTCTTAGGCAAATGTTACTGCATGGTATACAGTGATGCTACAGCTGTTTATGATTAATATTAGCTTTACTGAAAGTGGCTGATGTAGTTTAACAAAGACTGTTAGCTGCAGCTAGGATGCTAGCTGATAAGCCTGGTTCTCAGTGTGTTTACATACCAGTGTTCATTAAAGCTAGCTGCACTGCCCAGAATCAAATGGCAGTTCATGTTAGCAACTAGCTAGTGAACATAGTGGGGGATTAACAGCTAAAGAGAGAGAGATTTCCCTCAGGAGACCAGAACAGATAAAGGAAGCACAACTACAAATGTAGGCTAATGTTGCTCCGTATCTGCTGGATGTGTAAATAGGCAACTGTTTGCTAACATGTTTGCCATATCAAGTTTAAAGCTGATAGTGTCAGTGTTGTGTTTACAGCGTTCCACTGCTCCCAAGTGGGCAACAAATATTTCAGGTTTCATTTGACTTTTTAATCAAATAATTTCTGCTAAAGGAAATAAATAAAAAGCTATATACTTTTCTTACTATGTGATTGGTGGTTATGGGATGAATATGGATAAATATTAAGCATAATTCATATTTTTGACTAGTCTGACAACCTTGTTTGACTCTATATAAAAGTCTCCATCATCTGCTCTCAGCATCTGCATCTTATTGCCACATAATTCATCAATCTTTAGAACTCAGTGTTCACATAAATTGCCATTGTGGACACAAATTGTGTGAGTCTGCAGATGTTGTGAGAAAACCAAAACACATTTAATTGAAGCTCTGATGGGGGCCTGATCATACTGTGTGAAGTAAAACTGAATAATCAAGTTCAATCTTGTTTTTTATTTTTTCTGCAGGACTAGCAATCTGAGCTTTTATACATGTTTTGAAAGTCAGTTTATAGCGTTTTGCAGGCAGAATGTTAACCACACCTGCTCTACATTCTTGGCCACATTTTTCAGCTTTATACAGACTGTAAGCAAGCAGAGAGGAATGGAGATAAGGAGGGATGCAAGAGAAAAGCTTCTAAAGAAATCTGACTCCATGTCTGCAGGGCAGCATGTGTTATTTGGGGGCTTACCAGTAAACCATGACAGGATTCATGCTGCAGCGATTCTCTTTTTCTTGTAAATTATATTTTCATGCAACTGAACAAGCGACTTGGAGCAGATTGTTTTTGAGTTTCATTGTACAAAATGAACAAAGCCAATTAAGTCAAACATAGACAGTAAAAAGTTGAACTAATGCATGTATATCATTTGGGTTCACAGTTGGAGCTGACTGGGCAGAGCTTATTCAATTTCATCCACCACAAAGACATCAACAAGGTGAAGGAACAGTTGGCCTCTTCGGAGTTATACCCTCGCCAACGCCTCATTGATGCTGCAAGTAAGTCTGTTGCCATGTAAAATGGACACTGTAACCTAATGTGGAATCAACACTGCAGCTAGCTGCAGCTAATGTCATTATATTACATATGACATACATTATATGTCATCGCCATAAATGCTTGTCTTTTTGTGTGTAGCGGGGGTTCAGGTCCAGACAGATACCCCCGTCAGGCCTTCCCACTTGACCACTGGAGCCCGGAGGTCCTTTTTCTGCCGGATGAAGCACAGTCGGATTGCGGGGAAGCACGAGGACAAACACTTGCTGCCCGGTATTTCCAAAAAGAAAGGTGGGTTTAGACTGGACTCCAGGCTGTAGGGTTAGCAAACACCCACACATTGTATGATGTCACAACGAGAGCGCCACAGGGGAAATGTTAGTTTTAGCTCAATCAGAGTTAAGGAAACACATATATCAAAGACCAAAACTGTAGCACATAAGGTACGGTTGGGGTGGTGGAAAGAGCTGTTCTAATGTCCGTACACCTCCATGAACAGGATTGCTCGTTGTTACAATACAATCATTTAATTATAAAATAAAGCTCTATTTTAGATACATACGCACAGGTAGAGACAAAACCTTGACTTCCCTTTGGTTCATATGACCGCTTGGTGCACTGATCTGGTTCTATTCTGGTTCTCCTCTATGCTGTGTCCTATTTTAAAGTAAGTAATTCCAAATGGTTCTCAGTTTGAAATACCAGATGGATGGGATGTGCTGCTGAAGGCAATGCACATGCCAGAAAAAATTAACTGAATTCTATTTGATACAAGTGTGTTTGTGAAATGATTTTTATTTATTTTGTGTTGTATTTCAGAGGCTTTTCTATTCTCTAAAGAACTCAATTATGCAGGAAATACCTTTCATGGTATTCTGGCATGAAAGTAATATAGTCACAATCTCATATTGATTGAATCCTTGATAACTTAGCTGACACTACTGAATGGGCTCTATGCAGCCAACTCCACTCATCTGCTACCTAGGATGAAATGTAATCTCAGAAATGTTTCCTAAATAACTGCTGGAGCCAGGTCTGTTATCTTCACAACCACTCTGACTATCTCAAAGAGAGGTTTCATGTACAACAGAGCAGGACAGAATAAAAAAACTCTCTCTCTGCTGTTTTGGATCATTTCATTTCTGTTACCTCGCTCTCTTGAGAGCACTTGAAGGGATTCAGATGAGAGTAACTGCCAGACTGAGTTATTTCTTGAAAAGATGGGAGCTATTCAGCTTTGTATATACGATAATGTTCAATCCTGGACCTGCAGGGTTCTTTGGCACAAAAAGATAGGGAGGATGTGTACCAAAAGATTAATAAGATATTTAAATGTGTTTCTACAGAATGAGGTCAGTGTTCGGGCAACCAGTGAAAAACAAACAAATACAATACAAAAAGTGCCCTGCCTGGCCTGCCTAACAGGGAATAAAGAAATTATCTGATCTGGATCTGGTGGAGAGTTGGAAATGGGTGTTAGCTTAAGTTTTCTGGGGGTAGTAGGTAAGCAAGTAGGTAGTAGGTGAGCCTAAACCTTCCTTTCTGTGGCAAGGTGTGACCTGAATTTCCATGGAAATAATATTTATTTATTTATTTTTATAAGTTAATTGTTTTCCCAGTATTTTCTGTGTCTGTCAACCAGTAAACCAGTGAAAACCTAATCAACCTAATCACTTGAATAATGTAAAGAAAAACAGACATGATGACATTCAAAAGAATTAGCACTGTCTGTGCCACACAAATTTGTCTTTTCCTAATGTCATTCCTTGGTGGAAAGAATTCAGTGTTTGATTGAGACTTTTTTCCCAAATAGATGCCACAATTTAAAAAAAAAGGCCTGCACAGGAAGTAGGTCAGTGTTACAGCCTTGTATAACCACAAACAGAAAAGATGGTCCAAACCCCAAACCCCACTTACTGTAAACCTAACTGTGGCGACAGAAACTGGAGCTGTGGTGCCACTCAGTGGCCAAGATCAGCAACTGCACTGCATTTCATAAAGACAGGAAGCAATGATTTTTAAACTATAATCTCGAGGTCTAATAATATTCTTATAGTGACTTTTCCTCCCATACGCTATATGAAAAGTATATAATTTCAATGGCAAGGGAACTATCTGTCTCTTTAGCTGCTAAATGCTCCACTATATTCAACAGCTAACTGTGTCTGTCTGCTGTTTGGGGGAGTACAGTTGTTTTTTTTGCTGAAAAAATAGCCTGCTGCAGAAATGACACTACGAGAACGGTGGGAGGTAACCAAAACAGCAAATTTGCCGAATGGACAGCTAAACAATGAGCTGAAATTAGCTATACAGCTCTGAAAAGCCAAGGGTAGCTGTTGATTTGTAGTACAAATGCAAACTTGACCAACCTTGTGAAAAAAGAAAGAAACAAAGTCTAAACATACTAATTTCCAGGACCACATCTTATATAAAAACAAGACTTGCTAATGATGTAGCAATATCCACTTATATGTTAAATATCTAGTTTAAATGAACACATTTGAAACCGGACGGTGGGTGTTGATGAAGGGGTTCATGAGCTCTTTCGATTGGGCTGTATGGCTATGTCTAGAAGAACCAAATGTGTATTAATCCATACCTGGAAATAGCTCCCAACAAAAGCACGATTTACTCCCGTTTGTGTCATATTTGCTAAAAACTACAGGACCCATTGTTTAAGATTTCTATCAACAGTAGAAATGAATGGGTTCTGGTCTAAGAGAGGTGGATTCGCACATTGTTGGTTGCATTTGTTTACACTAAGTAAAATGTAAAGCAATGCCAGTAATATTCTAGTTCATAGAGTTTAAGAGTTAACATAAAATCTGATTTTAACAGTGCCTTGACTACACATCAGTTGATCATAAGTGCGTGTGTAGAAACAGCTGAAAACATGCCATTTTGTTATACTATAAACAGCTATATTTGCAGTTCTTCAGGCAATAATCACAACTTTTTAAATAATATTTCATTCATACATTTTACAAGCTACTTGTTCTTGTGCCCACAGACACTTACAGATACTGTACCCTCCACTGCACTGGATACATGCGGAGTTGGCCGAGCAGCCAGCTGGACTCAGAAGGGGACAGCGAGAAGGAAACCTCCAACCTGACCTGCCTGGTGACGGTGTGCCGCCTCCTCCCCCACGTGTCCCACCAGCCTTCCAAAGACATCCACGTCAAGCCCGCCGAGTTCGTCACCCGCTGCGCGATTGATGGCAAGTTCACTTTTGTAGACCAACGGTGAGTTTTCGCGATTTTGACTATGTCCATCTGCACAAGTTGCCAATTAGCTCCCTCTTGTGAGTCATGGATTTGTTCTGAACACACGGTTCCGCTGAGAAAGAAATGGCAGAAGGCGTGTTGTGGTGAGGAGGCCTCTGAGCCAACAGCATGAGTTTTGTCAGTTCAACTGTCAGAGATAATCCTTTCTCTTTGCCGTTATTTTTTTTTTTAGAAGGAGCTGTGCATCTTGATGGCATCACATGAAACTCTCTTCTCATTTTTTGGGAAGTAATTTCATACCACAAGTATAGTGACTCATTTTATCAAATTTCCCATATGTGTGACTGCTGAATGTTACATGTGGAGAGGCTCATTTACACAGTATTCACATTCATTCCAATTTCGCTCTGCGATGCTTTTTAACCGACACTATCCTGAGAGACAACGAGAGAGACAGTGAAAGCCAGACTAAATAAACTCGTATCCTCCCTCTTTCCCAGAGCTACAACAGTTATCGGTTACTTGCCGCAGGAAGTTCTCGGCACGTCGTGTTATGAGTACTTCCACCAGGACGACCTGCAGCATCTCGCAGAGAAACACAGGCAAGGTGATGGAGCAGACCAACCACAGTTGGCAACTTAAATATATCAGATTCACTTGAGAACTTAGTTGAGATAATAGTCTGTAAGGTCAAACGGAGTCAAGGTGCATGTGTGCTCTGCTACGTGAAATGGAGCAGAACCCTAGTTAGTATTACTGGTAACACCTGTGTTTACCCTACTATTTCATGTCAAAATGGCTGCTGTGAAAAAGGCCTATTTTACAAGAATGCCACCCTTATGTGTTCAAGTTAAAAAAATGACCTGTTCTAATGAACTCCTGACCAGGGGGCTTGTAGCAACACTTGTTTGTAATTTTCCACTGGGCTTTGTGTTAACACTCGTGTCCAATCTCTTGGCAGCTCTTCGAAGCAAGGAGAAGATTGAGACGGCGTGCTACAAGTTTAAAACAAAATATGGCTCCTATGTTTCACTCCAAAGTCAGTGGTTTAGTTTCACAAATCCATGGACCAAAGAAGTTGAGTTTATCACGTCTTTAAACAGGGTTATCTTGTAAGTACTGGTTCATCCTGGAGCAATCCTGACACAATTTTCTTGACACTGATTATCCAAAATCTTATTTTTTTCCAATCATGCTACCATAACACAGCTGTAACATACAGTTTATGTATGATACAGCAGCATAAATACTCCTTTGCACCAACAGGGGGCCTGGTCACACAAAAGATGAAGAGGCAGGCAGCTCCAAAGCACTTCAGGGTAAGAAACACATACCCTACATTCATAAATGCATTTATCTCTTGTGTGTGAGTCAGTTTTTAATGTAAAAGTTGATTTTACTGTTCTTCTTCCACAGAAGACACAAAGCAAATACCCATAATTCCCAGCCTTTCCAGCGGTGTTGGCACAATGATCTACGCAGGCAGCATAGGGACCCAAATAGCAAATGAGCTCATCGACTCCTACAGGTGCATTGTGTGTATATCTGTACAGAATGGTACAACTAAATAGAAACAGCTGCATTCCCTCACTATTTGTATTAGCTTGGAGAGAATGACATTTTAGGTAAAAAATGGGTTAAAAGTTGGCATGGACATGAGTAAACGCACTGGCATGCAGGGGAGTAGGATATACGATATACACTATATGTACACACCTAGGAAATATTTATAATAAATAGACTTTTTTTAAAAATAATTTCCTGTGCTGTGTTTGAGCAGGATGAACTCCTCTCCATCAAGCGGAGCTTCCAGTCCGTTTGGCCCGGCCCAGGAGAAATGTCCACTGGTTTCCCCTCAGACCAGCAAGAGTGTGAGTGACCTCTTCATCGTGACTTATAAAGCCATAATCAGTCTGGTTGTAACCTGATCAGGCTTTAAACAAACAAGTTTTTCAGCTTCTACTTTTCTAAGACTTCAGACTTTTATCTCATTAAACCTAAGAGGCATCATTTGTGTTTTCTTGTTTTACTGTCAATTTTAGTAGCATAAGGAAGTTTAATTCAAATGCATGGCTAGAGAGTTTATATGGAAATGTATTTTGACATTCTGGTAGATTTCTTTATGCAAATGTTTATTGACATGCAATTTAATGCTAATTTTGATGGAGTGGTATTTATATGCAAATTTAAACTGGTCTCTCATACATTTTATATTTTCAAGCAATTTAATGGTGACATGGGGAGTTCTGGTGATGTAGACACATAATCTGGAAGCAGGCAGCTCGCAATTGATTGAGTTTGCAACCTCATGTAACAATAATATGAGGGACTGTCGCTACTTATACTTTATTTAAACCTACTTCAGGGAGTTTTTAACTGGTTATGAAACTGTCTAAATGTAATACTGATGCCTCTTTATGACCTATATATGCACATGAGACCATTAGTGAGAAGATTGGCTGATTATTCTTAATGCCTGCCACCGGGTCGGATTCTGTCCGGAATCAACACAAAAGGAAAGTTCCTCATTAAAGTTTAGATTTTAAGCTCACATGCCCTTGTAGTGTCTCTAAGTCTTAATTCAAATATTAGACGCACTAAAACTTAATATATATGCAGAAAAGTGTGTACAGTAAGACAGCGGCTACTTCTATGTTTCTAGTTTAACCACACACTTCAGTGGAGAAAGGTGAAACATTATGACCTGTGCGGTGTTTGAACGTAACATGACCTGTTGCAGGCATCCAGCAGAGATGAGGCAGCAGGCAGTTCGTCGCAGTCCCAGTCTGACTCAGGGACTGCAGCGGGCACTAGCAGCGCAGCTTCTGAAAGTACAGGTACTGTCAGCACAATAATGAAAAGCGGTTCCAATAATGCTTTGGACATTTTTACTTAATTGTCAAGTGATCCAGTTAGGACATACAAACAAAATGCAACACCTAAATCCATCATAATTCTTGTAAAGCAACATTTTTATTGTTTTTATGCAAGCTATATCAGCTATAACATGTGAGCACTGACCAGTGAATTGAATAACACTGATTATCTGGTTATCATGGCCCCCGTTAGTGGGTGGGATATATCAGGCAGC